TATCTTTACTGCTTAACTCAATTCACCAGTTCAGCACCTATTTCAGCAGATGTAAGACCTTGTTTGTACTTGCGGTTTTGGGTGACAGCTGAAAAGCTGAGCTGTTCCTCGTGGCTGCTGGAGGGAATTCCATTGCTGATTGGCTGTTGATCTGGCGCCTGAATGACGTTTGGATGACGTCCTTTTGGGAGAGCCCTCGTTGGATTGGTTGGTTGCTGGGTTACGGAGGAGCCTCGAAGTTCGTCTGAGAGAGTCTGCTTTAGCAAGACTTTGTGTTCTGCAGAGTTACGAAGCTTCAACGGAGTAGTTGAGTCGATCGCCTGATGGTTCAGCTTGTGAGCACAAGTTAGAGTGCTCTCCACATGGCGACAAGGCCTTGCTTGGGAGAGCAAGTGGCGAAGAGCCTGCGTTCGGGAGAGCAAGCGGCGAAAAGCCTTCACTTGAGAGAGTAAACAGCGAGAAGCAATTGAATCTGTTGTAGTGGGGTTTTGACCTGCGGCACAGGTCCGTCCCAAGGTGCGATCTTCCAATCGGCTTCTTGCAAGGCGGAGAGTGCATACATTAACAAGAGGCTTCAATTCATCACATGTGGAGGAAAGTCTTTGCGAAGATTTGGTTGATACTTTTATAAAGTTTCCTAATGCGAGTATTGTACATACTTCTCACTTCTCATTCATACCAAAGTTTCTCACATAAAATAAGCTTTCATTCAAGCTCAAACAACAGGTATTTTGCATACATATTAAATGCTTTGTCTGCTAAAAAGAGTTATAAGGCAAATATTAAAATATCATAGATTCCAACAAACACATCAAATATATATATACGGCATAACATACAGTGGATACATTTTCACTACTTATGAGTTTTAAACTATTGTCTTTTAAAATCATCATGCAAGGTTATGTTTCTTTTGTTGTAAGAGAAGTTTGTAAGGGTTTCAGAAAGGGCAGGAAGCAGATGGTCAAACGTCATGTGATCGTCACGCATAGATCCCGTGTTTGCAGGCCTGAGGGCGTTAATTTACTTCCTGTGCCTACACTGGTTCCATACATTAGCGATCACGAAGTATCTATATGTCATGAAAGAACTTTTCAGTCCTGATACAAAAGATCTCTGTGTTATCTCCTGATTGGATTAGTTTCAACCTCATGGTGGCTGATGGGGGGAGATCTTTAGGTCCTTCTGTAATATTTCTGTTTCATGATTCACGTGGTGAATCCACAGCTTATGGGGGTCTGTTTCACAAGACAGAGACCTTACACTAT